ACACCTTGCTGGGGTCGTTTGACCCCAGTAATCTTTCCTGCCATGGCAGGGGGTTGGACTAGATGATCTACTCAGGTTCCTTCCGACCCTAGAAACTATGAAACTATGAAAGGAAGCTCCATGCTATAGCCTGGTTGTAAAACATGGCAGTAGACAAAATGTATTATGCATTTGGCTTAGTGTGGCCTGTGTGGACAGGAAAAAATATTCAAACTACCTCTTCTTGCCCCACCACCAGTTTCAGTAAAGTCCCAGGAGGTGCATCTAACAAGACACGTACTGCAGAGTTGCCTAATTAACTCCACTGTAAAGTGTTACAGTATACATGTGCAGTGCTATTAGGGTGGAGTAAACTAATTAACACCACTGTAGAATAGTACTGCCCAGTACAAGTACTGTTCTATGGCAGAATTATTTACTCCGCCACAAGCCATGTGTAGACAGTGACTAGGCTGACTGGGGCTCAAGGGTGCCCCCACACTATAGGACCCTTGTGCCCCAGCCAGCCCCTCCACAGCACATTGAGTTGGGACAACACCACCCTGGCTCAATGTGCTGTAGTTCCAGGCACATGTGTAAACACTGCACCCGGGAGCAACAAACTCCAGTGCAAACTGTACCAGAGTTTATTGCATAACACTACTTTCATGTGTAGATGCACCCTGTGTATAAACAAGAATAAAAAGTAGTATTCAAAGGGAAAATAACAACAGCAACAATCAACTTTAATTATGTTCTCTCATGCATGGACTTTCCATACAGTTCTGTGAAATTCCCTTCTAATCACCCCCCAAATTAATTCAGAACCTTCCCTGTGGCCCCTCCTATTCAATTATTGACATCATGTCCCTGATTAACTAAAGACACTGCTAAATTGAGCCTCCAAAGCTTACCAGTTAAATGGATAATACTCACAAACACACCAAGACATTTTGTTTCCAAGGGCTTCCAGTCACATACCCCCAGAGGTTCTCACCATTAATCCTGCTTTCTCCCAAAACAGTTCTTGCTCCCTGACTTCATCTTGACCTTATGTGCAGCCCCCAGCTGGACACATTGCTGCCACGTCACTCCTTTGGGTGCTGTTAGCTAAAGAAACCAATGTGCCTTAGCCACGTTGGCCTAATGGGATGCCCAGACACCTCTGACTTTGACCTGGGAGGCTCACCATTAATCTTGCCCATCAGTCTAACCCAGATGTCCTGCTAAATCCCACCCATTCCCCAGTCCCTGCTAGCAGGATGTTGCTTAGCTTTGCTTCCTTTCTGCTTCCTTTCTGCAGAGCCTGTCTACTCCTAACTCAGTTTCCTTTTCTGCCAAAGAACCTGCAAGTCCAGTTGATTTCCTGTAGCTGGGTGAGGGAACACTACTTTGGAGGGACCCTCCCAAGCTGGGGCAGAGCCAGACACTGGAAGTACAGAGCCAGCAGGCAGCTACATACCAGAAGGAAATAGCATAGGCTCAAGTTCATTTTTTGAAATGTTCCACAAAACCAGAGGTTTCAGGTTCACACCAGTCATTAAGATTTAGCTCTAGGATGTGCTGCCTTCTCTTACTTCTGGGACAGGACAAGTGCTGGAGAAAACACCTGGGTCTTTCCTTTTGCTCCCCTATGGAACTCAGAGTCATTCAGTGCTGCTTACCCTGCAGAGCTGTGCAGGGATTATGACAGGTGGTATGCCAAAGCACCAAGAATGCATTAAAAAATATGAGTGGGATTCTCCTTCCAGTGACACCAGTACAGGTCATGTTGGGGCTGGTAGCTTTGCATAGCCAGGTCCACTGGGCTTCCCTCCATCCTCTTGTTACAGTATCACTTAACTGAAGGTGGCACAGAGTCCTCTCTTCAGAGCATGTAGGATATGGAGGCCTAGTGCACAGCCATTGTCCTAGCTCTTACAGTAGGTCCTATTGTGCAGACAGAAGTCAATGTGAAACAGTTAGAAGTGACTCCTTGAAGTCTGAGAAACCTTGCCAGGGGGGCTGGTGTGGCTACACACAGGTTCTGCCCCTGAGCCCCCCCTTCTGATTAGGGCATGGCAGTGGGTCCTGGGCTTTAGAAGTGCCCTGGGAATTCCAAAGGAAGATCTACAAGCCCACGGTCACAGGCTGAACCTGGGCAGGGGAGGAAGAGCTGCCTCATTAATTGGAGCCTTTTTCTTTCTCCCCTTCACTCTTCCAGAGTGATTACTCCAGTGACACAGAGAGCGAAGACAACTTCCTGATGATGCCACCCCGGGACCATCTTGGCCTCAGCGTCTTCTCTATGCTCTGCTGCTTTTGGCCACTGGGGATTGCTGCCTTTTACCTGTCGCATGAGGTAAGACTGAAATGTTGCCTGCTGTACTCAGACCCCTGCATTTTAACAAGGAGCCCACATGCATCACATTGAGGGAAGGGGTCTGCAGGAAACACCTATTGGGGTTAAACCCACTCTCTGGGTAGAGTGGAGTGGAGTTCTGAGTGTGCACAAACCACTGGTGACTGCATACCATGGTTTCCTCTCTCTATATGTATGTGTGCATGTGTATGCGATGGTCTATATGTGTATGGATATGGGATATACCCCTGTCTGTTTTACCTTGCACCAAGTTGAGATGTTAGCTGTAATTCAGGTGGTCTGGTCCCATGTTGCTTCATGGCAGGGCTGCTGTGGATTTTTCTGCTGGAATAAACTTCTGATAGAAAATAACCTTTCCTGAAAGTCAGGATTCTTGCCCCAGGGAAATCAAAACGCCAGCTTCCTGACTGCCTACCTGGAGAGTAAAACTGACAAGAGTGTCCCAGGCAAGCAGCCAGAAAATCAGATATATTTTATATCCGTTTCTCCCCTTATAATTTTTTTATGGAAATGCTTCCATGAAAAATGTCGCTTTTTTGTTCTAATCTGGGATAAAAAACAACTAAAAATACAGTATTTTTCTCTGAAATGGATTGTCATTTTCTAGGCAGTTATAGTTCGGTGTGGCTAATATCCACTGAACTTTTCTATATCTACTCCATCAAGTGTGTGTCCTTATAAAGCCCTAAGCGCCCGAAGAACAATTACTGAGTTTCTCTGAGTGGAAGATAATGTAAGTGTACAGAAATGGAATCACAGTGGTGGACTCATCAGTAGTTATAATGAAGTGCGCTGCCAATACTAGATAAAAATATGAGAGAAATGGAGCAGCACATCAGAGCAGACTGACTGTACTTCACAAGACTGAAATGAGCTGCTTTCTAGTCTGATTCTGTAATGGCCCAGCTCTAAAAGTTTATCAGCATTGAATGTTTGTCATATACATATGTACCAGGATAGGTGTGAGGCCCTTGAGAACAAAGGAAAATGAGAAAACTATTTACTTAATAATGAGGGAAGAGGTATAAGTCTACATGTTTATATTTTAAATAAAGTACGAGTAATAGGAATTTTATCTCAGCAGCCTTCAAACACCAGGGGAAATTAAGGCTGACCTAGTAGAGAGCTTAACAAGTTTCCTTGTCTGAGTGATATTGATTTCCCCAGGTTTGGGTAAGGAACTTGCAAGCTGGTTGTAAAAGTTGAACGTGAAGATTACATACCTGGAGCATTTCTGTACTCGTAGTTTATTGTCCTCTCTACTCCATACAGTGTTGTCAGCGTGAAGGTTTATATGCAATACCTTTTTTCTTCTTCCCTCTTGAGAATTATTCCTGGATGCTGTCAGCAATTGTGTACATTTGGGATTTAGCACTGTTGTTTCAGTTGGGAGAAATACAGTGTTAACAACATTACTGTAATACTGGTATTCTTGGCAGGCAGAAAAAATGCAGGCTGGTTTTATCCAGGCAAAATAAATACAGCACAACCTATTCACCACTACCACCACCAGGACTATTAATCATCATCATCATCACCGTCATCATCATCCCAGATCTGAGATTAGACATATATCAAAAGGTAGGAGGCTGAAAGGATTTCCATATTAAATAGTAACCATTTCAGAGGAACTTCATCCTACTAAGTGAACAAACTGTAGAAAAAACATATTTTTTTCTGGCAGTGAAACAGAGAGAAGGCATGCCCTCCTCCCCTGAACAGCCAAGTGATAAGGGCACTTAGACTTATAGAATTACTTGGGGGGCTGCTATGGAAAACCTGAATTCAAGTGACTGCTTTGCCTGATTGAGAGCAGGAATTTGAATTTTCTTCTCCAGAGATCCCCCAGGCTCTGACCACTGTGTATTTTTTGGGATCTCTCCCTCTCAGCAGAAATTCCATACTGGACCTGAGAAACCTTCCCAAACGAACATCTCTCTGAACTAGACACACTTCCATGAAAAGCTTTGGTTTTGACAAGTCAGTACTTTCTAATAAAAAATATTTCATTGAAACGTTCCCAACCAGCTCTAATTGAGGTGAAAGCCCTATATAACTATAAAATAGATAAGGCATTTTATGTATGACTATTCCAAGAACTGTATGCAGTTGGACTGACATGGATAAAAGCGTATGAGTGAAGTCCATTCATGCCGCAGGGCATAAGCAAAACATCAGTTGCTTAGGGTTGGGAAGAAATTTTGGCCAAATTAATACCATTGCTTAGTTGGCTATTAGGGAATCCTCTTGGTATTTCATAGTTTCATAGTCTGTAGGGTTGGAAGGGACCTGAGCAGATAATCAAGTCCGACCCCCTTCCATGGCAGGAAAGAGTACTGGGGTCAAACGACCCCAGCAAGGTGTCCATCCAGCCTCCTCTTAAAGACCCCCAGGGTAGGAGCCAGCACCACTTCTCTTGGAAGCTGGTTCCACATCCTAGCCGCCCTGACAGTGAAGTAGCGCCTCCTGATGTCTAGTCTGAATCTACCCTCTGCCAGCTTGTGACCGTTATTTCTAGTCACTCCTGGTAGTGCTAGCACAGACAGAAAGGATATGGTATTTTGCATGTGCTGCTGCCTCAAGTAGGCAAAGACAGGTGTGTTAAGGTGTCATGGATATTTATAGATGGAAAAAAATTATATTCCCCAGGGCTCTAAAAAAGCATCAGTACTGCCCCAGAGATTCTTTTTGGTACATTGAATGGTACTGACTGCATCTGCAGAGGCTCCAGCCCAGGTCTCAGACTTACAGATACTTTGGAAGCTATCTGAATCACATTCTGGAGAAGTAAAGGCACTGCACAGAGGTTGGCAATGGAAGAATCCCACATTCTGGGTCTGGTTAGGACAATTCAAAGGAGAAGTTGGCTTGGAAATTAAATGGATGTGGGTGGCAAGTGACTCTCTGGGAAGAGTCTACTGTGATTGTGCAGCACACCAGAAAGCCCAGTGAGTAGCCACAGTGAACCTGCTCCCAGTGGTTGACTAGTGCTCAGAGCAGTTAGAAAGGGAAGTGTCTTTCCATGAGGGAGGTGCTGGGGCAAAGTGGGGATGGTGTCTCACTGGCGGTGCAAGTCCATCCATACTCGGGGCTCAGGTCAGAGGCTGCCCTGCACTCCTCTTCCAGTCAACTCAGTGATTATTCAGGCTGGGGAATCAAAGGCAGCTCGATGTGATGTTTGTGTACAGTTGGTTATACTAACTTATGTGCCTTAATCATGCTGGCCCAATGGATGTGTGAGGGCCTTTGATTTTTCCATAAGGCACAATAAAATCACTGCAGTAACGAGAAACAGCTCCTCTTTATCTGAATACAGGTTTCCCTTGCTTTATACTGTACATACATTCCTGGAAAACAGTACATAACTGGAATTTGCATAAAGGGAACCCACTTGGAAATGTAACAAATAGAGATATGTTCCAAGACCTCGACTGTACTGACCCCCAGACCCATTTCTACCACTTTTACAAGACAATTTTGGTACTCACCCACAACAGACAGTATACACAAGCATAGGGCACTATCATAATGGGGATGGCAACTACAGAAACGTGTTGCAGACAATGAGTGAGGAGCACAGATCCACACAGGAAACTATATTTTGGGGCATGTCACTCCCACAATGCAATGCATAAAGCAGCTGACTGCGGGCTTCCACCACACTGATTGCATAAGGCTCATTACATAAGAGTGAATTCACACATACAAAACCTGCATAAAGCAAGGGAAACCTGTACCCAATTTTTATGTGTGCAATCTTTCCCCAGGCAAATCTGGGAGAAGTCACTGACTCTTAGGGCCAGATTCCATTCAATCTATTGGGTGTCTGAATGGACTTAGGCAGACAAAGTTCTTTGGGTAAATCTGATATGTTTTATTAGACCAGGTGGCAGGATGCACCACCGCCTGACAGTGCCTGGGCCAGGCAGGACTGAGGGACCTGCTATGGGCTGGACAAAGTCGGTCCACACGCTGGATCCAGCCCACAGGCCATATTTTACCCACCCCTGGTTTAGACTCAAACATCTTTGCTGACTTTTTTTTGGAACCTATTTTCTATCTACTTTATCAGTGCTCAGGTTGGAAGATAGAACAATGTTAGATCATTTTCGGTATTGTTCTCTTTCCCTTTCCTTGGTTGTGATCTACTAGCCTGTGTGGGCTGTTTTTTTTTTAAATGGGGGCAGCATACTGGAGCAGTTCTTTTCATTGTATAAGATGAATGCAAGTATGGACCACTGGACTCTTTCAGGTGACCTCCACCTAGCACAAGCTGGAGGACTGGTCTGTGACTTTGGCTTCAAACCTAGTAATACCTTTGTCCTTTCTCAGGAGCAGTCACAGCTACATTACAAGCATCTTAACATGAATGAGTCATTCTAATTACTTGTCCAATCTCCATTAATCTGAAGTAACTCTTAGACATGGCCCTTGTCTAGAGTAATCTGATTTTTAATGACTAAAATGGCTTATCAATTGTGTCTGCTCTGTTTTGCAGATCTAGGATCAATCACTTTACACTAGTTTTTTTAACAAAATCAAAATGGAGTCCTTTATATATGATCTTAAACTAAAATTGCAAGCAGTCTACATTTCATAGCTGCAATTTCCAATAAAACCTTTATGAGCAGAAGAAAGGAGAAATATAGTACATTGCTCAGTAGGAAGCCCTATCTCAGGATTGGTGTTGTCAGTTCTTGCATATATTTATTGGTTTCTTTTCCTAAACCTCTAGCCTCTGGAACTGAGCAAGAATCTCGGCTTTCATTTTAAAATAAAATTTGTCGCTTTACTGCTTATGGAGAATAGCATACATGTTTTTCAGCTGATGTTTCAAAAACCAGTAAGATAATAAAAGGAACCCAACATTTGTTATTTTTAAAAACCTCATCACTTTTAAATCAATCTGCTTATTTTTAGGCAAGAGAAGAATTATCTGGTATGGCTTTACCATACAAAGTGTTTCTGAGTGAAAAATA